TTTCCGTATCTTAGCAGATACATTGAAATAAGATTGTACTTTTACTGATACATGGATTGGCTTTCCGTCATTGCTTTATCCTTCAAAAAAGGACCCGCTTTTCCAATATGCAAAAAGTAGCAATCTGAATCATATCACGGGTTGCTCAAATTTAGGCTACTCAAACCAATTAATTCTGCAATTTAATTCCAGGAAAAATATGCTGTCTGTGTGTTTCTTGATTTTTGACCAGTCTGTCTTGCCAAATCCGATATGAACATATTACTACTTTTGATCCTTCCATTACTTATAAGTCTCAGTAGGGATACCTTACATGGAGATTTCTTCTTATTTTTCTTCATTTTCGCCCTAATAACACATGTACTACAAACTAGAGCGGAAAAATTTTGGCAAATGTGCGACGTAATTTCTAGGAAAATGATGAGCCAAAATGTACTTTCAAATGAAATCTGTGTTTAAGCTAATCTCTTACATCAAATACACTTGCAAATTTCATTTTTTAAGAAAGAAAGTTTGAAAACCGGATTCTGCTGGTAAAAGAGTAAAAACTTTTTTTCAAGGGTTCATTCTATTTTTATACATTTACAAACTACTCGAAAAACGACTATGTGAACCAAGAAAGTGACATACCCTAAAAAAAACGCACTTCTTTCCTTCACACCTACAGAAACAGCTGGATTCTGGATTTCATGAGCTCATAATCCGAAATGTCAAGGCCTCCTTGCCCGCAAGCTTCCTGTTATCGTCTTGAAAAACATATATGACATTTCAGCGTTATATCTAATTCTCAAGAGATCGAACAACTGATGAATGAAAGAGAGAAGTTGAAAAATAAAATTTGGGAAATGGAGTCAAATCATCAACGTGCTGTAAGTTCAATCAAGTATTTTGTACCCTTTATTCATTATGAAAAAGTTCCAGGAAGCAGATTTTGCAGCAATGCAAGAAAGCCAAGGTCAGTTTGTAGAGCTTCTCACTAAGAAGGTGGAGCAATTGAAAAAGGAAAAGCTGGACTGGTTGAATGAGAAAGACAGGTACATAGAGTTTGTTTTCTTGCTTTTTATTTTATTTTTTTTCTAAAATTATATACTGCATCTTATTATATACTATGATCTACGCTGCCCAGTCAACATTGCAGTTATGAAGCACAAATCAAGAAATTCAAACAGGAAACATGCACAGTGGCAGAAGAAGCAAACTACCAGACATCAGTTTCACAGGCCCAAATCGACGAGCTTACTTATCGGGTATGAAAATTAACCAAGCTTTTTTAATACTAATTTGAGCTCAATTGATGATTAGGATTCACAAAAAAATAGGGATGGCAGTAACTTATTTGAAACTATCACATACCGCATATCGACCAAAACGTAAGTGCTAGTTTTACTCATCGTTTGCAATGAACCCAGATATGGACGGGAAGTTATCATAGTGCTCAATTTACCGCTTAAATTTTTTGAGGAAATTTATTTAACTCTCACTATAATCCGCACACATTGCCCTGGTTATTCCATTTCCTCTGACCATAAAGTTGAAATTTTAATGACAGTTACCCTTCATCGTACATCCACCGTATCTATCGTAGAGGGGTAGCATACGGCATAATTGTGATGTATGTGATCAGCATGTCAAACCTAGAACATAATCAGCGAGACTGGAGCACGTCATGCAATGAACCTACCAGCCCCTATTGTGCTTCGGAATCATACCAGATATTTGTATTTATCTGTCGTATGTCCTTTATACCATATGACCAGTCCACGGATGTTGCTCTAGAGACGTATTTCGCTGGATCGCCAAGAAGGGCATTAATCTTATATCCAAA